TGCTGACTTTTTTCCAGTGTGTTGAGCATTTCAGTAACTCAGCCAAAATTTCCTGGAGGCCAGAGCCACAATCCAGTGACTGGCACCCGCTGCGCCCATCAGAAGACCCCAGCCCAGGGGCTGATCACAGCACTGCCCTCCGCACACCAGCTCGGGTCTCAAACGTGGCCACCAGCATCACAGGACTAGCCTGCGGAACTGTCACCTCTAAGGCGAGGCCTGGGCAGAGCACCCTTCAAAGCCCAGGCCCCCATTCTAGCCTGGCTGTTCTGGAGCAGAGATCCCGCTGGCACCAGCTGCAGCGCGGCCTGACGGGGCCTCCCAAACCTGAGTTTGTGGCCAACAGGTCACAGTCGGGAGGTCCTGGATGGCAGTCTGACCTCCAGGTTCTCCTGGAAACCAGGAGACACGGAGACACGGCCCGGCCCACCTCCCCTGGCCTCGCTCTCACACCCGCCCCTACAAGGAGAGGGTCACTGACAGCTGGCTGATGGGGCCACACACGCACTCCGCCACAGGCTGGCTCTGGAAACCACGCTGCCCCCCGGCCTTCTCGCTGTGCCCCACCACCTCCGGGCTTCATCTCTTCCGTAAAGTGGGGACACAACCCTACAGCTGCTTGAGGACGTTTCTAGCAGGTCTAGGAACTAGTCCCCACTGGTTACCTGACTGACCCCGGGCGCCTGACTAATCAGCAGATAGTCCAGAGAAGACAGAGAAGGTTCTGCGCCAGGCTGGGGAGACTGGAGCGGGTGGGCATCACAAAAAGTCAGTCAGTCTAGGGACCAAGCTCATTTCCAGTTAGTTACAAGGCTGAAGACGTGGGATTTGGGCCTTTATGTAATAAAGGCCACTTCCATTGTTTTCAACAGAAACAATGAGTGACTAGAAAAACTGGGGGTGGTGGGGGATGAAGGTTTGTGCTTCCCCTTATACCACACACCGAAAATCGAATCTAGGTAAATTCAGTGTTTACGGTAAAGAATGAGACACTTCCAGTGAAGTAAGGGGGGCAGAGTGAACATTAAACTGCTTTTAGGGTGAAGACAGGCTAAACAAGACAGAAAATGTCAAAAAGCACAACTTTCCACAGAAGATATACAAGGGGCAAAACAAATATGAAACAAAGTTCAACATTATGAGTAATTTTTAAAAGCCAATTAAAATAGAAAGACACTATTTTTTACTCATCAAGTTAGTTAAACTTCTGCCTTTAATGCTAATAGCTTGTGCCGGCAGAGGTGTCACGGGGCACCTCTCCCTCCCCCGCCCTGAGAATGCAGTTGGCAAAGCCTGGTCTGCAGCAGAGGACAGGACAGCCCAGCAGACGAGCGTGTGGCCTGCTGCGTGGAGCAGCCAGCGGAAGCGCCGTCCCCCGGTGCAGCACACAGGGCTCGCCCCCAGGGAGACGCACGCAGCAGAGAACGTGCACTGCCTCCCCGAGCCTGAGCAAAAGCTCCCACGAGGAACACCTTCTCCGCGCCTTCAGAGTAGCAGAGAAAAGCTCAATTGGAAGAAAAGCTGTGTATCTATTTCCCTGACTGGCTTCTCGAGTAGCAGATTGTCACCAGCGCTCTGGCGCAGTGTCGCCACATCTCCAATACAATTTGACTCCACCTACGATACAAGGCCACCACGGCTCCGGCACAGTGTCACCATGTCTCTGATCAGATAGGGATGGGGCTGGAAAACTAGCTCTGTGAATGCCTCAGGCCCTGGGTCAGACGGCCCTGCAGCACCGTCCTTGCACCCTGGCCCCCTCCCTCCCCTTCTCATTTACAGAATCACTCCACCCTCTGGCTTCCGACACCACAAAGGCCAAATCCTGCACGTCAGCATTTTGTATGATCTGCTCAGTGCTGGTTCTGCAAAAGGATGGGAAGAATCGCAAGAAATAAAGGCATTAGAGTTCCGTGAGTTACAGAAACGCCGGGTTTCTACAGCTTGGTCAGCCTTCCCCCACCCCACCCCCAACCCCCAGGACTGCAGAGCTTCTCACATGCCTCACACCACATTTCTCTGGGCGGCCTCCCAGGCACACTGGAGTCCCAGAGACTGCATTCCCAGCCAGCTTTGGGAAACGTACTCTTCACTTCCACTAAGTCCATCACTGCTCTCGTCCCACCCGGAGCCCACCACAGCGCCCAGCCGGTGCTCTCCCCCTCCTCAACACCCATCGCCCATATACACGTGTCTGGCACGTTCCATACAGCACTTCTGCTGAAGCGTTAACTCTGCAGCATCTGCCCAGTGTCTGGCTCACGGGAAACCCTCAAAAACCTATTAAATCAAATGGGCTGCTAGGGGACCCAGGAGTAGGGGCTTTGGAGGCTCCAGAGAAAGGAAGGAAAGGGAGCACAGGCATCACCCTCAGAGCAGTGGGGCCTTGGGACCACGTGGGAGGAGACGCATGTATTTGTTACAAGTTGTAGACGGAGCCCGGCCTGTCTGCTGGGCTTCACCACATGAACTACAAAGTACTGCCAGGTGTGAAACACAGGGAAAGCACAACCCCAGGTCAGAGGGATCCTGGAGGAGAGACCTCTGCCCGCCCTCCCTTCTTCCCATAGGGTCCCACAGTCTTCTGGAATCCAGGCCAAGGGCAGCCCTGTGTGTTCACACGGCAGCCACTGAACTCACGGAGGGACCCAGGACAGCTCAGGCAGCTGATGCTGTGGGAAAGGGGCAATCAGATGTGCAGAAATAGACGTGCCAGTGGACAAAGTTCAGAATTCCACCAAAGACTCTTTCTTTCTCAAAGGCTCAGGCCCTACAATGGAGAGAGAACTCCCAGTCCCAACGCATCAAGTGCTTGCTTGTTAAACCCAGAAACACTGATGAGATGGCATTCAAGAAACTGGTTTAATTTCTGATTTCTCCAAAACAGATAGAGGTAGATTAGATATCTTATTTTCTTTTTGCAATTCTGAATGATAAGCATAGCTGGGGGGAAGACGTCTCAAAGGAACTATTTCCCGTAAGAATTGCAACCTCAGCCAATCCTCCGCCACTCCTCCGAGAAAACTTGCCACTGCCTAAAGGAAATGCTGCTTCCCGACCTAACACCTGGGCCTGGGCTGGGAGCTCCGGGGGCCACACCCAGGGTGCTCAGGGTTGACAGCAGTGTCACACACGATTACAGTTTGGGACCTGCTTCTGTGCAACCTTAGACCTAGTGAGGGGCAGCTGAGAGAGGGAAGGGGAGAGTCTTGCTGCAGAGGGCGAGTGCTATCCTCAGCCACAGGGAAAGGAGTCTTCAAATGCAGTTTTTCAACTTTCGCTAAACAAGTTAAAAGATAAGCGCCCTCTGACCCCTCCTTCAGAAGCGGACTGGCCCAGAGACAGGGCTCATGGTGTGACAAATTCTTCCAGGAGAAGGGGTCGACTCACCAGCTCACCTTTTAAAACCTCAGACTGAGCAAAAACACGGTGAGAGTGACCAAGGGCTGCCTTAGGCCAGGTGGACAGAAGGTGAAGGAGCAGAGAACTTCTGGACTCAGGGGACTCACACCCTGATGACCGCAGAGGGGACAACTGCCAAAACTCATCAAACTGCACATGTGCAACGGGTGATTTTCTTCCCTGTAAATCATGCCTCAATAAGGCTGACTTAAACTCAATTAGCAAGAAAGCACAATTACTCCAAAAAGTCTAAAGAAGGAGCCAGCTGCCCGGTCCCAGGCTGTCCTGTCTGTGCTCACAGAGGGGCCTGGGACCGTCTAGAAGAAAGGAAAGTTCCAGGCTTTTTTGGCCTTACAGTGAGGCCGTGAGACCTCTTTTCACTTCCTCTGAAAGTGTACCCTCCCAGTTATGTCTGGCTTCAACAACTGTTAAAATTAACTTCAAGTTCCTGACCAGAATGCAAATGATAATAAGAGGAAGTTGGTCTGAGAGGAGCAAGAAAAAATAGTCTCTGAAGTATTATCCAGAAAGTTGACTTACTGTTTAAAAAAACAAACAAAAACAAACCCGCACACACATCGCGGAAGGCAGGAAGGGACCACCCTTCAAGGCAGACCCCACCCCCACAGCATTCCTTCCTGTCTGGTTCCCTCCTGAGAGCCTTTACTGGCCAGTGGTTTGTCTTTCCTATGCTGACCACCTTCTGTCACTGGTATTCATTAATTCCCTTCGTTTTCTCTCCACTACCCCCAAACCTCACCCAAATTCCTAAGGGCATGGACCCAGTCCTAGGACACAGCTCCACAGAGAAGGCCCTGGGCGAGCATCCAGTACATGTACGAGCCACCGAAAATGAAGACGCAGATCCGAGATTATGTGAGATTCTCCACTTCAATCCCACCATTTTCCCTGGGAAAAAGTCTCATCCATTTCACCAGCTCCTTCCCAGGAAGTGCAGACACTTCCGCCCCCCCCCCCCCCCCC